GTATCAAAGATCCATCTCTGTGGAGCTTTGATGTTGTAAGATTGTTAACGGCGTGATGGCCTGTCTTGTCTCAAGAACATTATTAGTTCATGGTTGACACTACTTTGCACTATTTCAGAAAGTTCCTGTGCTGTGTGCCCCATTAACTGTGGTAGACATACAGCTTATCTGTCTGAAAATTAAAAATGCATTGTGCTGATAGTTTTTAAATATATCCTGAGTGTTTCTCATATATGAGAACATAACAAGTGTACACATAAATTTGAATAAATGGGTAGACTAGTTAAACATCAAATTGCTTGTAAACACTTACTTGGTGTCCTTATAGGACATGGTGTCTCATAAGGCTCCAGACCCATGAATAATTACAGAGCTTCAGTAAGATAGACAGAGGAGAATGGGACCAATCCCTCCAGGATGTCGTGCAAGGTGTGGTTTTGAGCCAAGCTTGGAAGGAAGAGTAGGAGTGTGCCTAGTAGATGCTGGGGTGGAAGCATTTCAGACAAATGGGGTAGGATATCAACTGTAGGAACTGCTAGGCAAAAAAAGATCACATACTGAGTTATGTTTTAAAATAGTATTTTTAGCCAAGTACAGTGGCACATACCTATAATTCCAATGCTCCTGAAGGCTGAGGCAGGAGGATCACTGTGAGATTGAGCCCAATATGGGCTACATAGTTCAAGACCAGCCTAAATTACATAGCAAGACACTGTCTCAAAAAAATGTTCCCCCCAAACTTAAGTATTTTTATAACATTGGCTAAATTTTGGGGAGAGACTCTTCAGGTACAAGCAAGATGATTTGATTTGATTTTATATTATTATGTATTTGGTACAGGGTCTCACTACACAGCTCAGACTTACAGTGATCCTTCTGTTTTCTGTCTCCGCAGTGCTGGGATTACAGACATGTGCCACCAGGCCTGGTCAAGGTGGCCAGCTCAGTGCACCCAGGGAGGCAGGGCCAGCATGGAGTGTGGTGGTATGGGGGATGGAGCCCCAGTCCCTGCACTTGCCTAAGCAGGTGCTTAGTCCGCTGAACAATCTTGCTGGCCCTAGGCAAGATGATTTTAATCTCTCCATTGTGATGGTAATCATGTAAATATTTACCATCTCTGTTGTTCTGGGTTATCTTGTTTTGTTTTATTTGGCCTGGAATTCATGGTGATCCACCTGCTTTAGCTTCCCCCAGTGCTGACTTTATAGGGATGCATGGCAATGCTGGTTTTAAAGGTCTATTCTGTACTTCCTTGGTAGATAGCATATACTATGACACATTCCTGCCCTGGCCCTGACTCCTTTCTGTTACAGCCAAGGGAGAAGAAAGGAGTACTTCACAAATATTGCTGTATCTTCTGTTTACTGCATGCCTGTTATGTATCAGCAATTTTAAGCCTACTATCTTTTTTCCACAACAGTTTCACAAATTGGCATTATTTGTCCTTATTCCCAGGAGAGAAAACTGATATTGATGCCTAGTTAAGTAACTGTCAGGAATGGGATGAAATTCCGAGATTTTCTGATTCCCAATGTTGTGTTCTTTCCAGTGAAAAATACCCTCAGCAAGCCCCTGTAATTTTGTTGTTGAGTCTCTGGAAACTAAGCTTGCAAAAGCAGGTAGAACGAGTTTGAGAGTAATACCTGGTAAGGTCCAGCCCAAGGAGTGGGAGGCTGCACCTTTGAAGGTCTGTGTATTTTGGCTTGAAGGGTGACTAGGAAGGCTTGGATGCCAGAGACCTGTACACAGGCTGTTTAGCACTGTACCTGACCCTTGTAGGGGACAGAAAGAATGAACAAAATAAGGAGTACTTGGCAGTTAGAAAATTTAGAGTAGTTAGAATAAGTTGCAGTGTCATAGGCAAAACATTTTTGTGGCATCAAAAATCAATGGATGAAATTTAGTATCACAGAAAAGAAAGTGATTGGCTCTGGTAACATTCAAGTTCTCAAATGCTGGTGTTGATAGGTACTGTTATCTGTGAGTGAGTCATGGTATTCTCTGGTGAGCACCAGAGCCTGGAGAAGGTAGGGGAGGGCACTTAAAGGAAACATTCAGCTAGGTGTGGTGGCCCGCCCCTGTGAGCCTAGCTCTCTAGAAAGAAAGCTAAGGCGGAAGGATCCAAACTTTGAGCCCAGCCTGGACAATTTAGTAATTTAACAACACTGTCTCAAAAATAAAAGACTGGGGATGTAACTGTGTCCAATTCTCAGGACTGCAAAGAAAGAAAAAAGAAAAAGAAAAGTATGCCATTTTGCAGCTTAGGACAAGGTTTCATAGTCTGTTTTTTATCCAACATCTGTCATGTCACTGGTTGGGAAGGTAAAAGTGAATAACTTTGGTTTTTAGAAGGCCTTAGAGCAGTGGAGGGTAAATCCCCAGCAGTCTTAGGAGGCCTGCTTAGATTTGACTGTAAGCCGGAACTGTTCTAGAGACTTCACTCTTTTGTTAATCACTTCTGTGGAAATTGTTAGCTTTTCCCCCGTGGTGGTGCAAATGTGACATTTATAAGAATGACTTACTGTAATTTACTTCCTATAGTTCTGTAAAATTATGGCCTGTACAAAGGTTCCCCTTCATTCAGTCTATGGAACAGTAAACATTATTCTTTCTTTTGTTAGCCTTTTTCAAAGCTCCCTCTAGCTCATTTGCATGAAAGGGATTGAGGCACTTTCCATAAAGGAGGAAATCAGTGAGTCACTCCTCACCCAACACTGCTGCCAGCTTGCATTCACCTGGTGTCTTGTACCAGTTCAGCACCCAGCTTGTCGTTCTGAAGTGATTCTTTGTATTGTTCAGCTCTGATGCTTTCTGAGTATCAGCATTGAGTAACACCCAGGAAAGATAAAAGTGTATGCCTTTTTTCCTAAAGCAGATATCTCATCAGATAGGGAAGTACTTTCTCCAACAGTATTCACTTTTGTCCTTTTTTGTCCTTGTATTTAAGAATGTTGTCACTCAAACTTTCTTCACTCTTGGCTTATCCCCCAGTTTCCTTCAGGGAAATAACAGTGTATTATGAAATGTTCATAGCCTAGCTGAGACAACGATTTAAGAGCTTCCAACACATAGAAATAATTCAGTTTACCAACTTAATGCTTTTGATTCTGCATGTCAGAAGAATATCTAGGTAAGAAGACAGCTTAATCAGGAGGGTTTTCTAAGTTGTGAGAGATAAATATTTGTTAGAAATTAAGAACTTCTCTGGAAAAACCATCTCTCTTTGATTTTTTTCCCCCTCTGTTGATGCTTAGCATCTATAATACACCCTGTTTCTCTCTGGCTACCTGAATCTTGTGTTTCCAGGTTCAGATTACAGAATTCTCTAAAGAGACGCTGGTCCAGAGAGGGTTATATGATGATTTCCTTCCTGAAAGCTGAATCTTAAAGGACTCATTTTGGAAATTTCTTGTTAAATATTAATTAAAATCCCAAAAGATGTTTCTTTCTGTTTTACAACCACTACTTTTATATATCCCAAATAGTTAAGTGCAAGGTTGAAATTGTCCCTGATGAACTTGACCTGGGAAAAGACCTCTATCAAACAATCCCATCACTATTTAGAGAAGAAAGAAGGTACTCGCCGGACAGGCAACACACAGTTGAACTTGTGCTGTTCCTTCCATACACCCTCCTTCCCTCTGACTCCTTTCCGAAATGTTTCTAGCATTATGAGTTTTGTTTCTAATCTTATTTTGCTGTGCAAGCTGCAGAAATGTCAGGTTTTTCTGACTATTCCTCTGCCTCCTGATTACCCTTTTAAGCAATGCTGATTGCAGGAAATTGCTGTGGTGCAAGGCGGGTGTCACAACACACAGTGATTAAAACTCTCATATGTCATTCACTGCCTGATTGAAGTAATCATATGAGGGAAGAAGCAGATGAAAAACCTGCTAAATGTGCTGGGGGTGGGGGGAATGGTTTTCATCATTTGGGTTTAAGGATTTTTGAGTTATGAGATCAAAACTAGTATGAGTGAGGCTTGTTTAAGTCTTGCTTCGCTCTGAATCCTCAGCACTTCTAAACAAGGCCTGAATCTCTGAAAGTGATCCCCCCCAAAACTAAATTATTGCTTTTCATGGAAACACATGGTTTCGTAAAACTGTACATGACTGTAAAAGTAATAGTTGGGCATATCAAGGGGAAAGGTGCTGGAATGTAAATGGGACAAAGAGTAGGGACAAAACAGGAGAGGCCAAGTTTCCTTTGTCATTCTTTTGGTCTGCAAAATTTTGAGAGAGTAAATCCAAATGCTTTTTTGATTTTTGTTCCACATAGTTCTGTGTTTCTAAACTATTACAATTATATGGTTGTTTTAAGAAGGCGTTAGTCTCATTTGTGCATGGCACTTTGAGTTAGATTAGATATAGTGAATTTCTATCTTAGTGTGTGCTGCCATAACAAAATACCTGAGATAGGGCAATTTATAAAGAACAGAAATGTATTTCTCATAGCTCTGGAGGTTGAAAATTCAAGATCAAGGCCTGTTGGATGTCTGATGAGGGCTGGATCTCTGCCTCTGAGGTGTTACCTTGTTGCTATATCTTCTGGAAGGGAGGAGTGCTATGTTCTCACTAAGAGTATGAGAAAGCCAGCAAGAAAGAAGGTGAGATAGATGAGATAGATGGATAAAGATAGATAGATAGATGAGATAAATGGATAAGATATATAGATGAGATGTAGATGAGGGGAGGGGGAGGAGGAGAAGGAGGGGGGGAGAGAGAGAGAGAGAGAGAGAGAGAGAGAGAGAGGGAGAGAGAGAGAATGAGAATGAATGAAAAAGTACATATTTGAAACTAATATCTAATACCACTCCTTTTCTTTTCACATCTGCTCTTACACCCTGTGTTGAGCATGCCAAGCGAGGAGGCTTGTGAACTATCATTCACTTGAGGCATTGGATCATCAACATTATCTGACCCAAGAGTGCTGTGAGTCAAATTCTGTAATACATGTTGAAAGCATCTATTAATAATTTCTTACCTCTTTGTGTCCCTCAGGTACAGAACCCTGGCATTTCTATTTAATTAATGGATTTTTGAATTTCAATGTTGCCTTTCCTTTGGCTCTTCTGGTCTTGCCACTGACTTCTCTTATGGAGTACCTGCTGCAGAGATTTCATGGTGAGAGGCATAAGAGGTGGGGGGCGGGCATTGAGGGAGGAGAGAAAAGTGACAAGGTGTACTAGAAAGTCAAAAAGAGTTCTGCTCTTTTATTTCCCATTTTTTTCCTGTGGAAATGGTTATCTTGTTGAATTTTCAGTTCCTAGTTGTAGATTATTGACATACAGGAAAATTTAGTGATTTGTTTCAAATTAAGCTAGCAGGAGGACCCTTCAAATGAGGAAATTGATGTAATTTACACACCTGTGGAAGCAGAACCATTTCAGAAATCTCAAGATAACAAGACTCAAAGATTCATAGAGGCTTCTGTCTTATAAAAATGTGTTAACCTGTCTTCTTTCTTTGTTTTTTGGTTTTTGAGATAGTTTTGCTATAAAGTTCAGGCTGCTCTTGCATTCACTCTGTAGCCCAGACTGGCCTTGAATTCATGACAGTCTTCTTGCCTCAGCCTCCAGAGTGCTAGGCTTACAGGCATCCACCACCATGCCTAGCTAAAAATTTGAAAGCCAGTGCTGAAGTGAAAGATGTTTTGGCTTTCCTAAGAAGCATGATGATTTTCTGGATTTTATTTTGCTTCTGTATTTGCTTTACTGTGTAAGGTTTGATATGTCATTTATTTTGCTTGCTCCAATTCTGTGTTGTACAGCTGGTGTTTTCTCAAGTTGTCCTGGCTCTGGGTATCTGGTGCCTACAGTTTCTTTTATGCAGCAGAAATTCTTATGAGCTTTGGAAAGATTTAATTTCAGAGTTTTCAGCCTGATTTGGCTGCCATATGACTGATTTCTCCCCACTTCACCCCCACTCTGCTTTTGTACTGTTCATGAAGTTTTTACTGTGTGGTAGGATTAGTGTGTGAGAACAGCCTCAGAGTCACTTTTGTTTCAGGGTTTTCATTTTAAAATAACCATATTGTCACTATTCCAGCAAAAGTATTGTAATTCCTTAATATCATCTAATTCCCAGCTAATATTGAAACTTCCTAGATTGTCCAAAAAAATCACTTCTTACTGTTAATTTTTTTTTTTTTTTTTTTTTTTTTTTGTGGACCCAGGAATTGAACTCAGGCCCTTGTGCTTGCCAGGCAAATGCTTATTCTACTGAGCTATCTCCCCAGTTCCCTGTTAATTTGTTTAAAGCAAGATATTAACAAAGGTCATGTACTTAATTTGATGGGGGTTTCCTTAAGCTTTTTATAATTTGCCCGTTTCACTTCTTTTGTCCTAAAGATTTTAAGTTTTTTGAAACAGAGCATCACTGTGTAGTTTAGATTGGTCTTGAACTCACAGTGTACCCCAGACTGGACTCAAACTTGCCATGATCCTCTTGCCTCAGCCGCTTAAGTACTGAGATTATAGGCTTGCACCACCATGCTCAGCTAAGATTTCCTTTAAAGATGCTGGATCATTCATGTTGTGTAGTATAGAACTTGTTTGTTCTCTTCTGTTGTATTTAATATTACCTCTTCTTTGAAAAGTAACTTCTTAGTACTGGCTATGGTCCTGTGTGCGTGTAATAACACGCTTTTGGAGACTGAGTAAGGCAGAAGGATGTTTGGTCTTTTAATTTTAAAATTCTTTTCTTTTCTTTTTTTTTTTTTTTTTGGTACTGGAAATCGAACTCATGGCCTTACACTTGCCAGGCAGGTGATGTACTGCTGAGCTATATCCCTGACCTAGCAGGTGGATTTTTTGCTTAAGGCCAGCCTGGACTTCATAGGTAGACCTTATAGAATAAAAAATAGTAGTTTTACTTCTGACTATAAAGGAGATGGCTCAGTGGAATAAGTGCTTTCCTGGCAAGTGCAAGGGCCTGAGTTCAATCCCTGGTTCCGCCAAAAAAAAAAAAAGCTATTAAGTCATTCTCTATAGTATGAATCTAATTTTTATTTTAAAATGTATTATGTACATACTTAGACACTTGGTAATAAAATCACGGCTTTCTGATTTGTATTTATATTTTTATGTATATTTTGTAATACACTTTTTAAAAAAAAAATAGAAACATAGAAAAACTATAAAGAATTGGGAAGGAAATTGCACATGATCCTGTCACATACAACTGTGGTTAGTAATTTTGTGATTTATGTAGACTATTTCAAACTTTTGTATCATTTTAAAATACTTGTTAGCATTTAATATAGAAAAAAGGAGAAAGATTACTTATACCAAATAAATAGATTTGGGCCTGGGAGACAGCTCAGTAGAATCATTTGCCTGGCAAGTGCAGGGTCCTGAGTTCAATCCCTGGTACCGCAAAAAAAAAAAAAAAAAAAAAAAAAAAAAAAAAAAAAACGAAATAAAAATAGATTTATTTTCTACAAGTAAAAATTTCTAATTTAATGTATGCTATCTGGAAATACATCCTAAATTATAACCCACAATATCATAAAATCTTAAGAGTAGAACATTTATGAAGTGAGCTTGTTATTGCAGCTTAATAAATTTTATCCTTCAGGAGTTCTATAGATAGATAACCTAAATAGCAGAACTGGGCATTGCTACACTGAGTCTCATTGCCTTCTTAATCTGTAATCTGAATTTGCTCACTAGACACAGTGGACACCAGGGAGTGCTGTTTCCCTACTGTTCGCCAAACTTCCCCGTGCACAGCTCATTGCCCTTAATACAAGCGCAGTAGGAGGTGCCTTCACTGTGGGTTGTAGTTAGCCTTCAATCCTCACGCGCCTAACCACAGCAACCTTGCAGCAGGTGCTTAAGTCCTAGTAGTCATTGCATTCCTTTAATTCTTTCATGTGCTTTAAATTCACTTTAGTTCTAATCTTGAGATTCAGAGTAGATGGTATTACAGAAGAGAAAACTTAGTAAACTTTAAGAATGTGGTCTGTTTGTTGAGACAGTCTCACTATATAGTTCAGGTTGGCCTTGAACTCACGGCAGTCCTCCTGCCTCGGCCTCCCAAGTGCTGGGATTACAGGCCCATCAACAGTCATTTATTAAAACAAAAAACAAAAAACAGCAACAAAAAAAAACCAGTCACTTGGTGGCTTGTTAAAAAGGGTTTGAGAAGGGCCGGCCAGATAGCTCAGCAGACTAAAGTGCCTGCTTAGGCAGAGCCCAGTGGCTGGTGTTTGATCCCTAGCATGCCGGCCCCAACCCCAGGGCATGCTGAGACAGCTATTGGGACTGGGCATGGTGGCGCACGCCTATAATCCCAGTGCTTGGGTGGCTGAAAACAGGAGGATCACTACGAGTCTGATCTATATACTGAGACCCTGTAGAGCCTGTAATAAATACATTAAAAAAAAAAAAGGGTTTGAGAATCCAACCGATTTTCTTGCTTTTGATCTGTGTCTATTTGAACAGACCAATTGGTACTAGATCAGAGAATTAATGTATTAAATATAGGAATTAAAACCCAAGAAATGGTTTTATGTAATGCTTTTATTTACTCTTTAGTTTTAGTGGCAGGACTCATTAGAGGTGAGTAAGCTTTTTTCCTCCTTCATCCAACATGAATTTATTAGGTTATATTATCCATTAACTTGGCCTTCATATCTGCCAATATTGTTTCTCCCTTTAATTTTGGATATTTTAGAAGTACTAAGGAGTATATTTCTCTTTCTCCTTGACATCTTTATTACACTGGAAAGAGTGTGAACATGCAAGTTGAAACATTTTATGGGGTGTTGTAGAGAATACTCCCAAATTTGAGATGAAGAGAACGTTGAAACTAAATATGTTGTTTTGTGCTAGTTTGATGAAAAGTGGCTGTTTTTCTGTGTCTTGCAGTTCAGAATTTAGGCCACCCATATTGGCTTACCTTGGCTCCAATGTATGTTTGGTTTATAATTTTCTTCATCCAGCCTCACAAAGAAGAGAGATTTCTTTTCCCCGTGTACCCACTTATCTGTCTTTGTGGCGCTGTGGCTCTTTCTGCACTTCAGGTGAGTTTCAGGGCAAAGTGTATTTGCTATATTCTGTTTCACTAATTAAATGCTCAGAAACTTAAGGGAAAATTATAGCATGTGTCCATCTGAGACAGAATGTTCCCCTGGTGCAGATCATGGCAGTAAAGCCTTACGCTTTGCTAAAACTGCTTATCCTGTTCTTATTTATTGACTGCACGCTTGTATTACTAATTTGTGTGATACTTTGCTTCTACTGCCAAAAAGAATCCAGTTGCTTGACAGAAATGTGAAGATCTGGGGTTTGGACTTTGGAGACTGCCATAAGTCTCTCTTCGCGCATGATGACAGTGTGATGTACCTACGGTTCGTACCGAAGTCACACCTCTTCTTCACTGCCGGCAAAGATCGTAAGATTAAGCAGTGGGATGCAGACAAATTTGAACACATACAGACTCTGGAGG